ATATATATATATATATATATATATATATATATATATATATATATATATATATATATATATATATATATATATATATATATATCAAGCACTAAAAGTCAGCCTCATTTGCGTCATTACGGACAAATATGAATAAAGTGCTCTAAAATGTACACTATAATGTGAAATGAGAATGTTGAACGTCCTCTACTGTGACATTCTTTATGCTAAAGGTACATGCACACATTGAAAGGCATGATTATTAAACAGAGATAGAATGTTTTTATAACTACAACGGTATCGTATTATTGAAGAGATTCGAGATCAGTCGAAGCATACCTTTGCATGAAGGTAGGTGTAATGAGCCAGACGATGACTACGTAATCGGCATAAATCATTGCCAAATAAGTGAGCAAAGCGCAAAAGATTCCGCATAAATCACGACGGAATATCATCCCTCATTAACAATCATCGCGTCAACTAATCAACAGCGCCAACTCTAAAACCGAGCTAGTGCCTATCCACAAGGTAAACATTGAGAAAAAGATACATATCTATACCAAACTAAACCCAATCCGGTTCAATACGTTACGAACCACACCTCACAAGTCTATTAGAGACACACAGTTTCATTCTGTGCACTTATGGAGCAAACGGAGAAAATTAAGTTAAACACAAGGTCTGATTTATGCGATGAGCAATGACGTATCAATGAGAGCTTTGCATGATTCCATTTTCACTTTCAGCGAGAGATCTCGGGAGTTACTGTATTTTCGGTTGTTTTATTAATTATACATATTTTCAGCTGCATGTTATTCACGTTCGAAGTATAATAAAAGTAATGAAATCAACAAATTTTTAATTTTACCATTTCTCCATTATTATTATGTAGGGTGAGATGTAAAAGATATAAATAATCGTAAAGAAAAGGAAAAGCAAGAAATAAACCAATGATTCAGTTATTTGAATTTGATATCGATGGGATCAAATATAGAGCGATATATTTGTTCTGTTTGGAATGGAATATTGCAACTTTGCAAAATGTTAGAGAGTTGTCATGAAATCTTATGGAATAAGTGTTGTTGCGCATAATGAAAATAACAATGAATATCAACACTTCTTTCAAGGGAACGACTGGTAATCTTATCCAGTACAATCCTTTTACTAGCAATAATGAAATTAATTTAGAAAATGAAATATTGCAGTTGCTTGTCTGAATTTTCAGGACCAGACTGCAAACAATTTGCCACAATTACTTATTGTTATTTAATATGTGATTAGCAATTAACACCGCCATGAATCGCTTAGTTTTAATAGTAGTAATCTTGATTTGTAATCTGCAAAAAATGAGTGTTTGACTTCATAACGAACCAAATTTTCGCCATATTTTTATATGTGACATGCCTTAGAGTTACTGACTAGTCCTTAAAAACAAGAAATATTTAGTTGGTTCAACTTGTTCCAAACTGTCTAAATGTGGTGATAATAATCTCATCCAAGACTTGAACACACTCACAACTATCAAACCTCAAGACCAGAAGTCAAGTATTGCATTTAAATTGATCAGGAAATCCTGTAAGTGGAAACATTATTAATAAATAACCAAAGTGGATCCAGTTATCGGTGTTTTTTATTATTTCAAACAACAAATGATTTGTAAATGAATTTTAAATAGATTAACCTTCGGGGATGTTAAAAACTTGTAGTATGCCATTAAATTACTGAGCCAAATGCCGTTCAATACATGCATATATAAATAAATAAACTAATTAATTAGTTAATATATACATATATTTATTTATTTATTTATATTTATATTCATATTCATATTTATATTTATATTTACATATACGGACACCCTTCGCTATGGGGGAGCTTTTGTGCCCTTATGAAGTTGCGAGCTGTGCTGGCAGTGGCAAACGTCTCCAGTCAGGGCTCCCATGCCAGACAGGTCTCAACTGACAGAACTAAAAGGTCAGACAAAGGTGTTCGCATGCAGGATGGGGCCCTTTAGCATCGTACGAAAAGAACAATTCTTATCCCAAACCCAGTTCAGAGTTGTCTTTCTGACTTCAACGCCAGAGTTGGGAAGAACTCCGAAGACTAGAAAGGAGCATTAGGCAAGCAGATATTGGAAAATGCAACGACAAGGATGGTTCCTGCTAGAATTTTGTGCAGAGCAACAACTCACCATCACAAATATTGCAGCTTGAAGACAATGTGAGTGCATCCTCGATCCAAGAAGCACTGGTACCTCATCGACTATGTCATAATGCGGCAGAGAAACGTTCACCATGTTCATCACATTGTGATGCCTAGTGCAGAAGGTCAAATAGACTATCCTTTGTGCGATGCAAACTTTATCTCCGCTTTAAACCCAAACCTGAGGGAGACAGAATTCCAAGGAGAAGACTCAAAATCAACATCTTCAAACAATTATGATTAAACATAGCTTTCAGGTAAATCTTCAGGCTAGACTTAAAGATCATCCCTCTCCTGAAACGTTTTGGAAACATACTAGAA